GTGTGAAGTCACAAGAAGAGGGATGTTTAGAGGCTGCTGAGCTAGGGCAGGCTTCTGGAGGATTGGTTGTACGGAAATAGTTAGTCGAAAGCCACAACTGAATCGAAAGGGGAGAACCACGTAGAAATTTATCCTAGCGTACCATCCCGTTGCGCCATCTTCACTCGGCAATGGATGTGTTTGTACGTTGAGCCTGCATGTAAACCGATTTGACTACCTACTTAATACACGACGCGCATCCATATCAGCAGATTAAAATTTACATCAATAAATATCAATCAAATTTAAATCTAAATCTATCTCCATATATGAATCATCTCAAGTCATGTGTCTCTCTCTTTAGAAGGAGAAATACTTGTACTTGTGTGGCACGCACCTGATACGCTTGCCCATTCGCAATCTCTTTTCTAGTCGCAGATCGTGTAGTTTAACCCACACTAGCTTGATCGCGACCACATACCCGATCGCCTCCTTCGTCGCGATCGTCTCCTTGACCGCGATCGCCTTGCTGATCGCGGATCACGTGTTGTGGTACACGGTCCTCTGATCGCTATCGCTTATAGTGGTCCACACCAACATAATCGCGATCCCATACCTTATCATCGATCACGATCCTCTCCTTGATCGCCATCGCAATCGTCCCGTCGACATTAATTGAAGATCCATGATTCGTATTCTTCGTTCGTAATACTTTAACCTGATACCTCAGGTCTCACCCTTTCAGATCGGACTTAAAATTCTGTCTACTAGTCCAGTGGACGTAATTCGACCAGATGTGGACCCGGAACCGCCAACCTTTTGCTATTCGGATATAACGGGGACGCGATCTGATCTTGTATCGTGAATTTATCGTATGCTCTAACACATAAACCGTACGGAAGAGGTCAGTGGCTGACGACGACAGGGTCGTCACATGAGCAAGGTCTTAATATGACCCGTGAGACAGCGCATCAATCAAAGCGTTCTGCTTTTCCGGCATATACACCACCTTGAATTTGTTTTAGGAAAACAAAGAAAGCTACATTTAAATTCTATGAGACCGATAAGGCCATTGGGTCAGAATACGAAGTGACGCATGATCGGTATCGATCACAAACGACTTCGAGCCAACCAGATGTGCTCTGAATCAAACTACAGTATAATTCATTGCAAGTAGCTCTTTGTAATGCCTGGATAGGTTTTCAGAGGCCTATGTCTGTAGGGACCTATACGCAACGACGCGTTCCCGTCCGTCGACATCTATTTGTATCAGAGTACTGCCAATGGCAAAGTCTAATGCGTCACATACGACACTAAACGTTCGATCAGGGTCGGGCAAAGCCAAGTAATGTTTGCATATAGGAACCCCTTCATTTTTGCTTGAATAGCATCATGATCGGTGCTAGTCAAGCACCACTCCACATCCATATTAAGAAGACTGGATAATGGCCTAGCCATATCTCCGCATTCTAAACTTTACTTGTAAAATTTGTTGGAGGGGTCAAGCGACTTACGTAAGTCCTTTAAGGTCCTAGAAACAGTCCAATCGACTATGGATTTTACCTTACATGATCCGCTTAAATGCCTTGCCTTCCAATGGAGCACCCTTTAGAGGGAATCTCTTCTGCACCAAAGATGCACTTGTAGGCGTTGGCATACAAATTAATCGTGCGCATGTACTCGAGAAACATTCGTACATGGTAAACATGTTCATCCACGTCTGATCGACCCTCATAACACTACTATGAATACAAACTCAAGGTAAGTCTGTGAATAGCCTCGGTGAGGTCTAAAAACCTGCGTCACCAGACAACTGAGTGTAACTGGGAATAATTCCTTGCGGTATATCAAGCCACTTTTTCATCATATCTCTTGGAGCGCTAAATTCTGTCAGCGGATCACCGCTCTCCCGCATGAGCACTTGGCCTTTACCATCTACTATGGCGAGCGCACTGTACATAGTACATCCCATTTTTTAGGTTTGAAGAACATCCTGTTTCGGGATTGGCTTATAAGCCGTTATGGTGGCTGCATTAATCTAATAGTAATCATGATCATTGCGCCACTTTCCATCAGGATAATTGACACAAATTGCCAGTGTGGAACGGGGAGATTTCCTCTCACGTTCCATTCCTGCCGCGTGTTGTGTACGAAAGAAGTCGTCAAAGATGTCAAAATGTTCATTTTTAAGAATTACTGCCGTGTTACATAGTATTTAGCTCAAAAAATCAAGTTAATTGTCATGAGGTACACCTTAATCGAAGGTTGACGGTGCGCTGTGCCACACTACGTTCTTAAACTTCTTTATTAAAGAATAATCGGATACAAAGTATTCTTAAAATATCGTAGATCGACTACGCGCACTAAGTGCCGCTTCAGTGTACTGAAGGAAATGCTCGTATGATACCGAGGATGAATTTAGCTCATGATCAGGTCTAATGACCACTATCACGTATAACTCTCCCGCCTTCAGTGCTTGACTAAATACTCCATCCGAAATCTTGTGTTGTATAAATAGAGCATTCAAGGATGGTAGAGTCTCAAGACTAATGTTTCCATCGACACGGCTGATCCCTTCGTTGACAATTGTATGCAGTTATTTGTAATATTATCACCACCTGACGTCCTGGACGTTTGTCACCTAGCAGTTGCCACCCGATTCCGGGATCTACCCCCTCCACGAGACCTTACGCCTCCTCGAGGATGGGACAATAGGGTCCCTGTCGGAGATTACTACCTTAGAACGCTATGTACGAGAATTCATATCTTGAACGACATCTGGCGGATAGTTGCGTAACTCGAACACTTCAACCAGTGAATTTACACGTACCCCTTCATTTGCATTATGTGGGCCTAGCCCCGAATACTTTGGTTTAATCGAATAATGTAACTACCGACATTCAGTGAGGTGCCGTCGCGGCCGCCCTCACTCGGTGAAATTTCACGTTTCACCCCACTTACATCAGATGAATGACATTCTTGATGTCTCGGCCCTAGGTTAACCATGTCTGCAGCATGCAGTGACTCAGTATCACAACGAATATCACTCAACGGAGTATAACTCCTCTCACATAAGGTAATTGAGCTTCGCTCAATATTGATGTCATTGACATTGGAGTTAAATAACTCTGACATACCAATATCCAGCACATTGGCATCTTCCGTCAACGGCTCGCGCCAATAGCGCTTTTGTTGCCTAGCAAAGGTGGGTTCATGACTCTCCAAAGCTTCGCTAGGAACATTGCGCGTTGCGCCTAAGGTCTTAGACCTCCAATCAATCCATGGCTTATAACGTTCAAGCCAAGCCATACTTGGGATGAGATCATATTTCGAATACAAATCGAGGACAAGACAGCGTTCAATGCTGTCAAAGTCCAAAAATTTCACACCTAAGTTCAACGGAACTTTAGGCACCGTGAAGGAACTATCAGTCGCTAGCCTATCAGTGATCGAATCACCCTCATGCACTTTGAGCGCTCCAGCATATTGATCACTTCCTTCAAGGGCACGAAGTCGAGCATAATTGCATGATGCTCCGGAGTCGATTCGAATCGGCCACTGCTCCTTAAGCCTTTCACTGTTTCCTCAGCGACTTACAAGCCAGATTTGTTATTAAGCTCTGTGCTGACGGGCACAGAAATCCTTGGGTATAAGCGCTGTTTTCCTATACCTCGTATAGAAATATTATAACATAGTTCTACCCCAGTAAGGCGCCTCGCACCCACTGGGTGTCGACGTTTCCCCGTGCCATTCCATGTTTATGGTTGTGGCTGGGGTTTCTACTTTAAGGAGTCTAGCGATGTTTGCACAAAGGACAAGTAGGGCGTAAGTGTTTAGTGCTTCCGCACATGTAACAGCATCTCTCTTCCTCCTGTTGCTCCGCAACGTGATGCTCATCTGCACCTTCATCTTCAGCATAGCTGAGATCTATCGGCTCAGGATTACAGTAAGCCGAGTTGTTTGGTGATGTTGCCCTCACAAGGCTTGTGTTCTGTCCATTTCAACCAAGTCTGGTCGACTTACAAACTTACAAAAAGTCTAACTTGAGCAAATCCCATGTGGAAAACGCTAAGCCGACCGACGTGCCACACGTAAGAGCCCACTCTCTATCTCTTCCATCGAGCTTGGAGAAATCCGGCGAGACCGTCTGGTACTGAAGTGAGATAAGGTCATGGCTCGTGGCCATGTCAAACTCACGGATTCAGAAGGCAAAGTTTCCCCCTCCTTCCCGGAGTAATGTTAAACGTCCACCCGAAGGGGACGAGGCTTAGCCTCTTCTGGTGGCATTGCCACGTAGCGTGTTGGCATAGCCGAATTTACTTGGTTAAAAACCTGCACCAACAGGGCCGTTTCATACTGCGTGAAGGTCTCGACTCGTGCAGTGAGCACATCGGGACCTTGTGCAGCTAGAAACTCCACATATTCTGGGCCTACGGCCGTGGTCAGCTTATCTAGCACGAGCGTTTGACCCTAAGTTAAGGTTGTAGATATTTCTATCCTCACAGAGGGTCATTCTGAAAGCCTCAGACGTAGATTGACAAGTAGAGCTTCCATATATAGCAGTGCTACACAGATGCTATGGTTAGAGGAAGACCTAACGCTTTACGAGCAACTGTAGTTCAAACAACTTGACTCAGATAGTTAACAAGCTCAGAGAGCTTTCCATATGTTCCAGGGGGCAAAACGATTCAGATTATCACAGCACATAGTGCTCTAAGAATAGCTGTCTTAGCAAGGGGTTGCTAGACTCTTCTACGATACGATCACAAGACGCTTCAGGGAGTGAGTGACGTGTCTTTACGGATCAAAACGGGAGCTGAACAATATTGATTTAATTATTGACAGAACACCTCGGACGACCGTATATAATCTCGACATTAATGTTATAATTAACACCTCCTAGAATACTTCAAAATTCGGTGTCTGACACACGTCAGTCTACAACAACTGATGTGGTGTTCTAGTATCATCTATAATGGGACTCCGTCCGTTGTGCAAACCGCACACGTTGTGTCACCCCGTTACATACTGTATGGGTAAATGATGGGCTTCTTCAGACATTGTGTCGGGATGTTCACGTTGAGCGACATGTCATTGTCAAAGAGCCCAAAGTGCTTCTCGTGCTGCGCCCCCGTGTAGCTCACCGTCGTGTCGTACATCATGAACCAGTACGACCGGCCCTTGTCGCGCGACCACGCGACGTAGTCGTTCAGGTACTGCTGCGTGCCTTCGCGCGACGGCTGATTGCCGGCGTAGCTCTCGCCCGCGTACGGCCAGCCCGTCTCGGTCAGGTGCAGTTTGTCCGGACCAAACTTGCCCGTCATCTGGTCCCATTGCGCCTGCAGCTTCTGTACCGACGGCTGCCCGCCGGGCGTGAAGAACGGGTAGATGGTGACGCCGATGTTGTCCACTGCGTTCGCGAGTTTCGACGTACCGTCGGCGCTCAGCCACTCGTTGATGCGCTGCACGGATCCAACAGGCGCGTTGCCCACACACTGCTTGACGCGGTTGATAAAGCCCACGAGCTCGTCCGCCGAGTACTGGCCAAATCCGTTGTTCCGGAGGTTCTCGCTGCCAACGTAGACTGTCTCAATAGCCCAGTGGTTCCGGGCGTAGCCGTCGCACACTGCCTGAATCTCGCCATCAATCAACGCGAGATTGCTGAGCTGCGCGCCAACCGCAACACGGATACCGGCCGCAGCGGCCATGTCGACTGCGTTCACCCTGTTCATTCGTGCCTCGTACGTGCGGATGTTTGAGAAGTACTGGGCCATATACCGCAAATTATGCGGCAGTACTCTCTAAGCATTAGAAATACTGCGTCTATTGGTTTGGTTACTTTCAATAGAGCTTTGCAGAGAAACTGTCGATTTGGTTCTTCAACAGAAAACGCGAGTTACTATTGGTGAGCTAGATACTATTCAAAAGCTTTAACAATTCTCCTGGGGCTTCTTACACAGTTGTGGACGCTCGTTGTCGACCGAGTCAGAACACTCTCCAGGCGTAGTGGCAACTTTATTCAACCCCTACTTATTTATTGCGGAACTGGTATCGAATTTGAGGCGCATTGTTCGCCGCACTCGATGGCTGTTCGGATCGCTTTTCTATAAGAAACGGTATTTTGTCAGCATTTATGCACCAAGTGTCAAGAATAATACAAGAGTCGATGTTCGAGAGTCTTCTTCTTCTTCTTCTCCCTCAGGGTAGGAAGGACGCAAGTTTTTTATAGAGCTTTCAACTGTACTTAATAGACGCGACTTGTATGTTCCGTTGTATATCATCCGGACAACACGATTATTTGGCGCTACGATGGCCTTCCGGTCGCTCGTAGCATAGATATGTTCTTGGTAATGACATGAAATCGCCGAAGTAGAAAGATCTGAGGTATAATAGGCGGCAGCTCACACTTATATATACAATCTGCCGGGCGTTAATTTGGGAAATGTTGGAATGGATAAGTGGTATATGAATTTTTGGCACGATAAGTATACTCGAGACTCCGCCATGTCAGTACTTGGTCTGACTACTGACAACAATGGCATCAGTATCTAAATCGACGTTCCACGTCATGTGGTCCGTATCCAAATCCGCGGCGCGTGTATACTGTGCTAGGTTGTGCACATGCGGCCATGCACTGAGCAATCATTGCGGCCATTGTGCAGTCACATCTCAAGCTGAAGATCCTATTATTGTTCTGAAGTCCGACTATATCACGGCCCGGAACTTGGCCGTCAGGTGGTATGACATGAAAATAATGTTTCATAACATTTTAGTGGCGACTATCAAAGCCTCGAGTCATGGTTTGACACAAAGCCCTCGGCAGCTGCTGAGTCATCTTTATGCTTGATCAGATGCTGCTCTACTGGTGCAGAGGAAGCCTGATACCTTACTATCGAGAGGTCCGAACCGTTGTGACAAGCCTAGCATCACAGATACTCCGGCAGACATTTGTCGTAATGTGAAATAGTATTGACGTTTATGGAAGGGAACAAATAAAGGGCCCCTTCTCGTTCAGCACACATACAAGCCTAGCAAGACGACTCGCTGTTTTTACGCCCGGCTGTCGACTAAGTATTAGGACAACATCAACTTTTCTCTAAGAGAAAGAGTTATATACGAGCTGACTAGGTCCCAGGAATTGCCTGAAGAAACGGTTGACGGCTGGGAGCGTATGATGAATCATTCTTTACTGGGTCGGAAGCTACTGTCGCGATCCTTTCCCAGGCCGCACAGCTCGATATAGTAAATCATACTACTGTGACAATGGCGGTTCCTCTTCAAGATGTGAGCGCGGCCTGGAAGAGGCTAAAACGTGATGAAGCAGCTGATGCGGATGTACTTAACAACTCATTTACAGATATTCGGCACACGCGATCGGTCCTGTTCCCAAGACGTTTTCACCAGATGGATTACGTGCAGCGTTTTATCGGTGTTGTTTAGTGAATAAGATATGCATTTATTGAAAAAACTTCGGCCTTCGCCTTGCCGCTCGATCATCTGTCGGTCAATCTCCTCAACGGCGACTACAAGTTTTTTACCCAAATATTTTTCTTACGCGTGCGGCCATTAATGTCGCATCTCATTCAATCGGCTCAAGTTATTTTCGTTTCAAAGCGGTCTAGCAACAGAGCTCTTGACATATTTGCAGCGGTTTGCAAAGGTGCAAATGTGGATAGCGATCTTCATCTAGCAATTGTTGTACTTCTCAATTTTGCAAAGGCTTACAACACGTTGCAATGTCCATATTTTATTTCGACGCTGACATGGCTTTGGTTTTTACCTCACTTCGTTTCATTCGTGACAGCATTAATCCGCGACACGACCTGCCAATTTCATGTGAACGAATATTGCCCCAGTCGACGTACCGTTACTTATGGAATACGGCAAGGTGTCCCCCTATTGCCCTGATTCTCTTTAATATCTCCTTTGATCGTGGATATCGAATGCCTCACGCGCGGGATATATTTGGGCAATGGCCTATCAAAATTAAAGGGAGGACAACTGAGGTCAACGTTTGGATCTATGTCGATAATAATGCTGTCTACTTACACGATAGTTCTAAAATTGTGCCGATTTACACCATCCTCGATGGATTCGCTCAAGTGTTAGGTCTCCGGACAAATCGGGCAATATTAATGGTCATTGAGCTGAACCTTCGCGAATCAGCGCAATATATAATAGCTCTTGGTCCTATTATAAAGGCTCTCGGAAGATCTTGCAGGTATCGTGGTTTTCTGGTGAGACAACAGAATGGAATGGCTGATAATTGAAATTGGTGCATCCGGTCTCATTGGAGATGACTTGTCTTGGCACAAAAAAGCTCACACGGTAGAACAACGCGCTCAGCTCGCCAGTGCTAGCGCTGTTCCCAAAATGAAGTTTTTAGCCCGCACTGTTGGCCTTCTCCCGCAGTGCTTTCCCGATTGCGCAGCTTTATGTTAACTTTGCATGGGGCGTCCGTGATGGCAAGCGGTCCTGTCCCTAAGTCTCTTCCGAAATAGCTACTATTATTTAATCAGCAGGAAGGACTAGCGGTGCCTTGTATTTGGACGGAATTGGATGACAATGGCGGTAAAAGAAGTTGAACAATGGGCAGTTACTATTTCTTTTAGAGACTTTCTGAATGGTGTTTACGTATTGGGATCGAACGGTGTGGGTCTGGTTTACATCACGCCTTGTTGGACGGAAGCCAAGCATACTCGATATCAAGAGACTCTCTAGCTAACCGGGTCCGAAGTTGTTGTCATTTCTGCGGCTCGACATGCCCACCAATATGCGGCCAGAGTGGTCAGCAGACGAGCCTTATCGATTACATCGAGAGTCGTAGTCGCCTTTAATGATAAAGGTAGTGAAACCACTGATGTTCGGTGGGTCTTTGATGACATAATCCGCGCCGAGATGCGAGTTCAAGAAGCGATACCGGGGATATTTGTTCACCGGTGGCTTGTAGGCGCCACGCTTAAAGGTATTTTGTGACTGTGAGATCGACGGGGTACGGCATAAACCTTTACCAGAGCCGACTTTGCCATGAATTATAATGATCTTGGCGAGGCAATGTCTTGGACGAACATACAGAGTTGTATAGGCTTGTTCTCTCCCACGCGTAATTTGACAACCCAGTATATGTCGAAGCGACGGCATATTGCGTCTTTCTTTCTCGCCCTTCTCCACAATTTCCCCTCTCTGGTATATCGGGCGCTGGCACCTGAATCTTTAATTGCGAGTTTTAACGAAGGTCCACCCATTCTATTACTGGTTTTTTACTAGTAAATATATATCACGTGAGCATCGCTTTAGATTTTATATTCAGACACGGAATGTGGGGTATAACCAGTCTCATCGATGGCGGCATGCGAAATAGCCGCGTTAGCAGCCAGTGGGACTCCTGTCCACTCTGGCACGCATCCGGTGCTCACGCAGATATTTCACCAGTGGAATGGACGTCGACGATGGCGGCCACGACGAATTTAAACCACAACAGATTATATCCCGGTAGCGCTGTACGTAAGGAATAGAATTTTTGTCGAACGAGTTGCATATATGAATTTATCGTTATATCGGACGGTACAATATTGATCACGTGGAGAGATATTCGACGAATACGAGTCTCTATTCCACAAACACTTAGACCTATATCGTCTAAAGAGTAACAGTTCCCGCTCCAAAATTGGGCGAAGCAAGATCTGTAGTTCAACGTCCATGAGTGTGCGAATGCTGGTCGAATCATATCAAGCCATGTTTTGGGACATGCCCTAGCGAGTTGACACAGGGTGTTTTAACTTGATCCGTGGAGATGGATAATTGCTGTTCAAGACGTGACTTGCATGTCAGGATATATAGGCTGTGTATCAGCGTGAGCCCGTTACATAAAATGTGATGCCTTTGTAACAATTTTTGAACATTATCCATTTAGATATTGTTCAATTAACATTACTCATAAGGAGTAAAATTAATTGAACATTACCTCAGAGGGTAATAGTCCCTTGATGGGTTGCTCCTCCTGATGGTTGATGTTTACGGTACATCAACCAGATTAACCACCCATCACTGCTGGACGCGCGCAATGGGTGGTGAGAAAGAACCCCACATAGAAGATTGTAGTTTAATATAGTTAACTTAAGACAGCGACAGTTTATTAAAAAAAGACTATATATCCATATTAAATACAGTTCTACTTTTTCCTTCGACAGAGCTTTCGAGTTCTCCCCACTTCTCTGCGCTTCATCACGCCACGTGTACGTGACGTCGGGTGCAAACATCCTTGTGTTGAATTGAAACAAGGCGTGCCACGTTACAGGCTGGACATCCTTGGTGTAACAGGGCACACCCTTGCGTGAACTTAACGCAAGGGTTTCGGTGCGCCCGACAGACGTACACGAGGCAAACGAGGAAGCGTAGATAAGGTAAAAGTAGAACTGTTATATTAATAAATTAAGTCTTTAAACTACTGTCTCTTCGTTTGACTTAATTCAATTATACTAATATAACTGCATGTATGGTGACGTCTCGTAACCACTCATTGCGCGCGTCTTGC